CTTGGTACCTTAGTGTACCATCATCCATGCCAAGAGTAAAGGTCATAGTTTTATGTTTATGAATCCCCTCCTTCAGTTGTACCAACAATGTATCGTGGTATTGCTTCTTTTTGACTTCCACGACAAGCAATGATTCAGCCCTATTTTGTACAATTACCCCTCCTTTAATAGAGCCAGCAAGACGAACTCCCAAGCTAGCTAACTGGTGAATCTCCCTGGCCAACTGCCTTTGACATGCCTCCAAGTGAGCCAAACTACCCATAGATTTTTCGGCTAAGAGCATCCGCTACAATATTGGCTTTTCCCGGGTGATATAGGATATCAATGTCGTAATCCTTGAGTAACTCAAGCCATCTTCTCTGCCTCAGATTCAGCTCGCTTTGTTTGAAAATATATTGAAGACTCTTGTGGTCCGTGAATACATCCACATGGACCCCATACAAATAATAATGCCAAATCTTCAATGCAAAAACCACCGACGCAAGTTCTAAGTCATGTGTTTGATAGCTTTTTCATGATTCTTGAGTTGCCTAGAAGCATAAGCTATAACCTTGCCGTGTTGCATTAGCACACACCAAAGCCTCATCCTTGAAGCATCACAATATACCACAAACCCATCTGTACCCTCTGGCAGGGTCAACACCAGCGCCGTAGTCAATCTTGATTTCAACTCCTGGAAGTTCCTTTCACAAGCATCGGACCATTGAAACTTAACCGCTTTATGAGTCAATTTAGCCAACGGAGAGGCAAGAGTAGAGAACCCATTCACAAACTTCCTATAATACCTTGCTAAGCCGAAGAAACTGCGAATCTCGGTTGGTATTGCAGGTGTAGGCCAATTCTTCACCGCTGCAATCTTTTGAAGATCAACCTTAATTCCTTCTCTGGAGACAACATGACCCAAGAATGTGACAGATTCGAGCCAAAATTCACGTTTTGAAAATTTCGCGTACAATTAGTGCTGATGAAGAGTCTGCAAAACTCCCCCGAGATGATCAGCATGGTCCTCTCGACCTTGTGAATATACAAGAATATCGTCAATGAACGCTATCACAAAGGAATCAAGAAAAGTCTTGAAACCCGATTCATAAGATCCATGAAAGCTGCTGGGGCATTTGTTAGCCCAAAAGACATTACCAGAAATTCAAAGTGCCCATACCAGGTCCTGAAAAGACATTACCAGAAATTTAAAGTGCCCATAATAGACTCGCCAACCAGAGTAGATACAGAGAACGACTCAGGAAGCTATTCCATTTCTATCCCAAATTCCATAGCAACATAAGGGGTAACATAGGACAAAGTGGAACCAGGATCAATAAGAGCATATACATCATGAGATTGGACAGTCAATATACCTGTGACAACATCTGGAGAAGCCTCTGCACTCTGGCGACCACTCATAGCATAGAAACGGCTGAGTCCTCCAGAACCCTGCGCACCACCCCTAGCTGCACCATGCCCTACTGGTGCTAGAGTGTCTCGAGCTAGAGGGGGTGTTGAAGATGTAGCAGCTGCAGAACTGGATGGCTGTGTTGTGCCCCTGCCCGCACCCTGGCGGGTTGAAAGACACTCCCTTTGAATATGACCCCTCAATCTGCACCCGTGACATATAGGTAGGTCCATGTAGCAGATCCCCAAGTACATCTTCACACACCTGGGGCATGGGGGCTTGCGCTGCTGCTGGAATCTTTCTCATGATTGGCTCTGCTGGTAGGGTCCTCTGCTGCCCTGATTGGGCCTGAAATGACTTCCCTGCTTCTGACTGGACCCTGCTGGCGGTGCACTGGCTGAAGACTGAGAAAATGACTGGGATGGCCCTGATTACCCTCCCCTAAAAGTTGATCTTGCCCCCACCAAATGACTCCCCAAAGTTTCTCGCAGACCGGGCCTTGCTGTTACCCTGTCGCTCCATTCTGTTCTTCAATTGTTCTCTATAGCTTGAGCAAATGCTACCATCTTCCCATAGTTTATATCATAATTCAAGGAAGTTGTGGCGGCCTCATTGATAACCAAGGGGATAAGGCCTTGCACAAACCGGCGCACTCTAGCCTCTATAGTAGGCAACATGAGAATGTCATATTTATACAGACGCGCGAACTCCATGTGATACTCCCATACACTTTTACTACCTTGTTTAAGGTTCTCAAACTCTGTGGCACGGGCTGCCCTAGTCTCGGCAGGTAGGAAATGGTCTATGAAAGCGTCAGCAAACTTACTCCACCTCGCTGGAGGTCTCCCTTCCTCTCGAGAGTCCTCACACAGCTCAAACCAAGAATAGGCCACCCCTTTCAGGCGCTAGGCGGCCAACCTCACTCCCCCCATCTCGGTAGAGTGCATAACCCGGAGAGTCTTATGCATCTCATCAATGAAGTACTATGGGTCCTCCTTGGGATTAGCACCCTTGAACATCGGAGGATCCAACTAAAGAAACCTGTTCACTCTGGAACCACTAGAATCCCCTTGTTGGCTAGAAGAAGTGGGTGCAACATTTGATATTTGGGCCTGAGAAGCCACTATCTGTGTCAGCATCTGGATAGCTCCCCTAAGATCCTTGTCGAAAATACCAGAACCACTTACATTCATTTAAAGATGCAGCGCCCCCGGCAAAAGGGACGTTAGTACTGTCGAATAGTACTAGTATGTAAAACTAAACACCATCTCAATAGAATGAATAATAATACAAGGGGGAAACAGTCATGAGTTCAATAAGAGCTTCAAACAATACTAAAACATCAAATAAGGATCACATAGGTTCTCAAGTCAATTTCCATGTTATTAGGTTGGGTGATCTTTAGAGCCGATATACCATAATTCACAATACCACCATATTCTTATACGGAGTCCGATCACGACCCGATCGGTTTGGTCATCTCATTTGAGACATCAACTATAACTATAATTTCATTATAATTTCCAGCACAGTCACCACTATGTGTGCGGCATGGCGTCTGATCATGGCTTGATCTACTATTATTAACCTCTACGCCTACCCCGACATCACGAAACCCCGAATTTTAGGAAATATTTCACGGGGCCTTACATACCCACCCCACACTTTAAATGGTGGCATGTCCCTATGACACATGAAGAAAAATGCAAAGATGAAGAAAACTCCCCTGATCAAGTCAATCCGTATCGGAGATGGTTCTGGGGTCCAACTGACAAGCCCGGCCAAGTGCACGTAGCCATGCCATGATCGTCTTCTCGGATTTGGCATTCTGTGTAGCAAGGGCGTCCATTCGAGTACCCAAATCAGTGACAGAGGTACGCTTTCCCGCCATATCCTGCTCTAAAGCGCTCATTCCCATGTCCCAACTGCCACCTGAAGTTACCCAAACATCCGGCTCATGTGGTAGAGAAGCAACGACATCCTCATTGCCCTCTTCTGGCGCATCAGATTCCTCGCTATCCACCTCAGCAGGCCCTGCAGGGTTCTTCCCGATTATAACTTTATCAGCCCAGAATTTATGTTCGCGCTTTACTTTTCTATCCAAGTCCCTGTTTTCCAGTACTCGTGCCCCACGACATAACCGAGTGACTAATGATGGGAAAAAGAACCCATACCACTGCACAGGACAATGAATCAACATCTCATCCTAAAGGATCCAAGCCACAGTTAAAATCGTGGCCATTGACAAAGCACCAAATCAAAGCCGCCCTAGGACCATTCACCTCAGTGGTGTTTCCTGAAGGCAGCAGGCGGTTATTGATAATGTAGAGCCATCACTTCCCTTCAAAGGTTAGCAAAGCCAAGTGAAAATTTTGCCCCTCCTTTATCCACACTACCTCTTTGCTAGGTACACAAATGGTTGCGAAGAACAGTCGCCACATATATGGTTCTCTGTTATGCGTGGCGTAGTAGTCACCTGTATCCGGATCTTCCTCGAATTCCGACAAATGATAGGTCCTTCGGATGGCCTCTTTGGAGAAGTCCACACTCTTTTTACTGACTGTGCAGACATGTGCGTCATGTTTCCGGTAGTTTGCATAAAACTCCCGAACAACCATTAAGTTCGCCTCGTCAGGTTCTTCAAAGAATATCCCCAAGTCGCGCCTGACCAATTCATGATATGCACGGGGATAGTCATTTTGGAGGGACACAATATCAATTCTCCTCTTCGGTATGGGCTTTTTGCTCTCCTTGTGTTGGATTCGTTCTTGGGCTTCCTAAGATACAGACTTTTTCTGATCATACGGGCCAGCAGATGCCGAAGCTTGTGATCGGGATGTGCCCGCTTGACCACTTGTGGAGGCACCTGTTGTTTTTCGTTTCTTGGATGGCGCCATAGTACCTGCACAAACCGCCAACTATTAGTTAATGAATCACATGGGGAACCAAGAGAGGATACTCAGACTTCACCCTTACAGTTGGTCAAAATATTACACATAATCTCATTAAGGTAATTTCACAAACACATAACAAGCACAGGTCTTCCTAACCCCCACAACTCAATTTCATCCCTAAATAAACCAAAGATACACCAATGTCACACCCAACTACTATATAGTCAGTCTCTATGTTGGAACTTGTCTTCCACCCCACAAGAAAGGAGCAAAAAAAGAGATAAAACAAAAAACAAAATCTTCTACAACACAAGCAAAATCAAATACAATAACTAAAAAAAAGAGAGAGAAAGCATTTCACTTACCTGAAGGGACTTGGGAGAGAAAATGCGTGAGGTTGGGTGAAGGGAGAAGATGAGAGAGTGTTGTTTGTCTTACGGAGAGGGGGTGAGAGAAGACGGGGGAGGGGG